CTTCATCCAACCATACCTTGCTTTCATCCTTTCCAATAAATCTCCTAATAGTTTAGACTTTCATCTTTAAATTCCAACCTTCTCTTAAGCTTTATACTAGATATTTAAATCTTACATAATATAAACTCTATAATCAAAATAGATAAATCTCCAAATAAATTTTCTTATATCAATTCTCTTTAAATTTATTTACCAACCACTCTAATTTGCATCAAGACTTATAAACATATTATATGTCTTAATTAATTTTTACATACTATAAGTAATTACAATACCACAAGGTCTAAAAAACAAGCTGAGGCTCTTGAATCTATCAAGGCAAAGGCTTTATAATTATTAGGTCCTAAATGCACATCTATTATAAAACAAAGAGAGGATTTTGAGGAGAGGATAGGACCTTCATTAGAAATTGTATAAGATTCCAAGTGCATGGTCCTTATTATAACTAGATAATTTTTTTTTTTTGATGCATTATCTTCTTTAATAACTATGTTCTTCATCTTGTGATTTCATAGCTTCTTTAGACAATATTGAGTAGTGTATTTAGGTTTTGTATAATATAAGTATAATCTTTCTCGATGACGATGAGTCTTTTCTTGCTTGATAAGAAATTTAAAATATACCACATCAATTTGCATATCCTCTATTTCTAAATATATATATTGAAGAGATGTTGGTATTGCCATCAAATTATAATAAACTTAAGATTAAACTTCAACCTCAAAGCTATTCAATTCCAAGATCACAAGTTAAATTCATTAATATACTTCTTTAAGTTTTAACACTATTATAGTTTTCAGCTTTTCTTGAATGATAAGATCTAATGTTAGATAATTTGAAGGCATTTTTGACAAAATTTTGGTCCATATATAGAGAACATGATGTAACTCATGTTGCAACCAACAAGATTCATATTTTGGGATAAGACAATTGATTTGTAATATTATATGCTTCACAATTTTGACAACTTGTAATTGATATCAAATAGCATGATGTTGCACTTATTAGCCAATTTTTCTATGGATTACAATATGAAGTAAATAAATTGATGCTCAACTTACTTATTCCTTAAACATTGAGTAAAGCAAGTCTTACATCAAAAATACTAAGAACAATATCAATTTAAAAGATGATTGTTTGCAACTTCTAATATACTTATGTCTTATCATAAAAAAAAGAGTAATCCACTCTTAATTAAGATAAGACAAAGCTTTGATATTCTAAGTGTACTCTTGTCAATCTGTCAAGGATATGAACTAAAAGATGATGCATAAATCAATGAAATCCATGTCAAAGAAAAAGTCATAAAATAGAAATAAAGAAATATGTTGTCGTAATACATGAAGTCTTGCTTGAGAATGCTCCGGGCACCTGGCTGTGGAAGGTAGAATAGAAATTGTACCAAAAAAATCCTAATTATAATAGAATACTAAAAATACTATAATTAGACTATAATAATGTTAAACAAGCTTTAATCAAATTCAAAAAAAACTCAAAGAAATTTCAAAGAAAGAATAAAAAATCTTAAAGAAATATTAGAATGATCACAAATATCTTTCAAATATATCTCAATTCAATCTTAATTTAATCCTAGTTAAAATCCTATTAGACTTCATTCAAACTTTAGGCCAAAACTAATTAAATCTTAAACCCTAAACAAATCCTAATAAAATCCTAAATCCTAAATCCTAAATCAAATCCTAAATCCTAAACCAAATCCTAAACTCTAAACCAAATCCTAAACTTTAAACCAAATCCTAAATCCTAAATCAAACCTTAACCAAATCCTAATCCTAAATCAAATCTTAACCAAACTCTAAATCCTAAATCAATCCCTAATCAAATCCTAGTAATTTCTACAACAGTTTTAAACCTCAATAACTAATAAATAAATCATTGAACTTAACTCAAATTTTGCACACTTCTTAAAAGCTAATTTGAAAACAAGCATAAAAAATTTTAAAAGGATCGAAATTACCAAATAGACAATAACCTCAAAAATGTGCTCGGATATTGGCCAGTCTCCTTCTCCAACCTTGATGCCAATCTCCTAGAGCCTATATCTCTCCTTTTCACCATTCGATTGATTTCAAAATTCTCATACACATAGAAAAATAAGTCTAATATCCTTTCGCATAAGTTTCACTCCAATCCAAAAAGTAGATTGCAAGAAATCTTAAAAACCTTTACTGGACCTTAAATTCTACTTTCTAAGACCTTCACTCACTTAAACCTCAATAACCCTAAATTAAACTATTAGATTGAGCTCAAATTCACAACACATATTGAAAACAACTATAACCATTGATCCACAAAATTTCACAAGTAGATCTATGACAAAACTCTTGAAATCATCCAAAACATAAATCCTATTTTATTTCACAAAATCCAAGTCATCCAAAATAAACCATGACTTTGCAAAACTCTTACAAAGTCAATACAGATCCAAATCACCAAAAACCAATGCTTATAGAAATCTTATCCAATCTTCTATCAAATTCTACTCTCTAATTTACCAGAGAGTCCCGAAGTCATCATCGAGACTCGGTTTTGTGCCTCAAGGTCTGATTTCGACCCTAGTTCATAACCGACCCTCTCTGGGTATCAACATCTAATTTTTCTAAGTAATTTTTACTAGAATTTATTCTTAATTTCTTTCTAAAGATGTCTAAATCATTTACTTTTCCAATCTACCTTATTTTTCTTTATTTTTGGCCCTACAAAGTAAGTAGAAGCTATTTTTTTCTTAAAGGGCAGCATTATTACTAAAAATTTTACTACCTTCCTATCTTTTATCCATATTTTTTTACTTTTTCTATTAACTTAGCTCTTCTATAATAAGATTCATATTATCATCTTTTACCATATATTCATGTTACAACACAACAACATATATTAAAAAAAAATTAGAATGGCTTATTGCCAAAAGACAAGAAAACTTGAGACTCTTGAAATTGGATTAGAAGCAAGAAAGGAATTGACAAGAGTGAAGAAAGCTTCACTCTTGTCTCTATATATACTATCTAATTAGAGGCTATGTGGCGATGTTCTATAAGACCTCTAATATGTATTGACTTTGTATGACACATGCCTTGACTAACAAGGCAAGTTTTTCTAAATGTTCGCTACATAATTAACTTGTTCTTCAAACTACCAACATATGTGGTACATAGTTAACTTGTTGACTAAGTTTCTAACCTAACAGTCAATAATGGACATCTACAAAGTCAAAGCAGTGTCTATACAGCTTCTAAAAAGCTTCTTAAGAAGATATTATAGAATTAACTTACTTTTACCTACTTCTATCTACTTCTATCTATTTATGCAAGTAATTACTGACTTACATGTATATGTTTGTGACAAATAGATTATAGATTTAAAAGAAGTGTATTAATGAATCTAGATGATAATATAGATGGTCATATTATGTAAGTGGCAAAGAATATGGATATTTTTTTTAAATAAATAAATTACCTAACTCTTCAAAATTTAGCTTTAATAAGGTCTTTTGAGCAAATTAAGTATATGACAAATAGAAACTAATACATATTAGTTATTTGATTAAAAATGGCAGCAATAATTATAAATGAAAAATTGATTTGTCTATGACGCTTCTAGTTGCATGTAGCAAAAACAATTACAAATTGGCATTTGATTTATGAGTGACAATAATTAAAACAATAATGAAAAAACCAATTGATATGTAAATTCTTCAAACTTTTTGCAACAAGTACAACAACTTTAATAACAGCTTTCAAAGCTCATAAGAAAAGACTTGACATTCTTTTGAATAAAAAATTCTAATAATTTTTTTAATGATATCATAAATAGATGATAATTTGGATAAATGACACTTGGTATTTTGAATGAATGTATAGATACAAATACTACTATCTTTAATATGATAAATGTGTTATTATTGTTAAAATAATAAACTTGTGTTTTTAACATGTTATATGGAAATATTGAGATATATTTATATATATATATATATACACATTTATATTTCTACATACATAATTGTATTACATCTTGTAATAAGTTCAAACATAGCTTAAAACTAACTTTCTAAATTCGTGTGCAATAGTCAACTGGTAGATAGAAATTACAGGTGACAATAGACTTGTAATAATTCCAATATATTCTTTGGTTAATACGTATCCCATTTAAATTGATAAAATCATGTTATTTCCAGATCAACCTTCTCTAAAAATGATTGTCACGTGCTTTACTGTTGTACCCATGTTGAGTTTATATATATGTATAATCATACACACACATATTGTTGAATTGTTTGATTGTTTATTCTTTACATGTAATATTGACTTCAATTGTTTACTTGTAAAACGTCAAACAATTCCTTACCAATCTCAGTGCTTCATTTTGTCAACTTTAGGAACTGGTCTCATCTCATTACACAAAAGGTAAACGTACTGCACAATGCATACCGACATGCAAATTCAAAAGATTATCAAACGAACAATTTAACAGAACAGGGTAACCGTTGACGAATTTGCAGGGGGACCTGGTATCCATTTTGGACGACGGGTTAGGAGTGTGAACGAGATTCGTCGGGCACAGAGAGAATCGCCGAACGACGTCCAGGAACTGGAGAACGACACTTCCTACGAACGAGGAAAGAGCTGAGCTTGTCCCTCGCTGCTTATTGCAACCAACATTCGACTCAACCGTAACATCGTGAAACAGATGGTGACGATAGATCGTCCGTTTCTCAAGTTTCGCCGACGTTGTCACGAAGCGTTGCGTCCACGCGTCTCCGTCACCGAAAGCAACTCAGGACGTGGCTCGTGGGCCCCGCTGAACGATCGTCCACCTTCGTCGTTCTTCCCGACTTGCATTCAATATCATGCGGCCCTGCGGCCTCCTGTATTTTCGGGAACTTTCCAGTTTTACGCCGCGGTTTCTATCGCCGATGGAACTTTCTTTGAGTCAATGCCAGCGCCATCAATTTTGAAACCATTACGTGTGCGATACTTATGCACCTCTTTCCGAAATTGGGTTTAGGGTGAGTCCAGAAATCGGTGCTTCGGAGAGTTCCCAGGTGGTTACTCGCCTAGGGAGGTTGAAGCTTCTTGTTTCGGAAGGTTTCCTAGTTCGGGTGCCAGAACTTTCTCATTGACTTCTGGTGACGTCTTGCCTTCAAGACTATGAGGAAGTTGATTGCGATTGTTTAGAAAACTGTGGTTGTGGCCCACATTTTCAATTCATTTCAGTGCACACATTGCGAGTGGTTGGTTTGTCTGCGGAAGCATCAACTGAATTAACAGAATTGTGGAGCGTTGGGTAAGATTTGAGGGCAAAGACGATTATAGATTGGTGATTGCAACTGGAGTTTTGAATACAGGATCGTGCAACTTGGTGTTAGTTTTAAAGTTTAAAAGATATAGATTTTGCGCCGCGACCATGGTACAGAAGGACTGGAGCTCGAGAGGAACGCTGGACATCGGGACAGATACCCTGCACTGCCAAGGCCTGGGGAGAGATAAGCAGCAGCATGCAATGATGAAAGAGGAGAGTACTGCGAGTCCGAGGTATAAAGGAGTTCGCAAGCGGCAATGGGGAAAATGGGTTTCTGAGATTAGGGAGCCGAGGAAGAGGTCCAGGATTTGGTTGGGGTCGTTTCCTACTGCGGAGATGGCAGCGCGGGCGTACGATGCTGCCGTGGTTTGTTTGAGAGGACCCTCTGCTGCATTGAACTTTCCTGATTCGCCTCCTCTATCTCTTCCTGAGTGTCATACTCCAAGAGAAATTCAGGTGGTCGCTGCTGCAGCTGCCACGGCCGCAGAGTCTTGCACTCCACTGAATTTTCAGGTGAAGGAAGAGGCGCAATCACTCGGTTTTCAACTGAGTATTAGGAACGAGACAAATGTTTCACCCAGGTCGCATCTTAGACCGGTGGAGTCGGAGAATTCTAGCACCTCGGAAGGGAGATCGCGGAAAATTGACCTGAGTTCTAAAGATGAACACGACGAGGAGCTTGATTATACAGGAGAGTCTTGTCCTCCTCTGCTCACTGCGGATGACTATTACGTTAGTTTGGACGACGTTGAATTGGCTTGGGACAACATGAAGGTCGATGATCTTAATTTTCTCGATTTGCCTCCACTGGAGGATTTTTTTGAGGACGGACCGCGGAAGCTGACGAAGACCAACTCTGGACGTCAGAGTCTTGTGCAATATTGTCGCCAATTCTCAAGCAACTATGAGCGTGTAGATAGCATGCACTTAGTATGCGATGTGTTCACGATGTGATGAGAAAATGTATGTTCACGTCGGAATCTGAATGAGATCGAGTGATGACATTGTGGATACTCTTCGATCAGAACCCACTTTTGGAATCATTTCTCCAGGGGTGCAGACTGCTGAGACAATCACACACAACAAAGTCACTTCGTACCCTGATGTGGACATGTAACTCAATCAACTGGCTCAGCTGTCTGTCGTCACGGCAGTGTACAGGAGATGAATTTTGCACACGAGGATAAAATCTTTACGATTTCTACTTTTAATTGATTTTTTACACACACATTCAACCACTTTAGTGCGAGGTGGATCGTTGACAGTGAAAATTTTCAGGCACATTTAGGCACCTTGTGTGCATTGCCCTCATTCAAGTCGGTCGAAGAAAGCTTTCTTCGATGTTTTGTGTACTATTTGAAAAGGATGACAATCATAAAAACCTTGAAGCTAATACAAATCTGTGACGGCATCTTCAGGTTGATGCAATTGCATATGCTTTTTGGTGTTCGACCTCGTTCGTCGATTCAACTTGTACGTAATTTCTCTGAATACATTTGTCATTGTGTGGTTTGTTAAGTGCATTTAACCCATACCTTTTGATTCCATACATCTTTCATCAACTTCAATATCCAGAGTTTTGTCTGCACACACGTTTTTCAACCGTGAGAATCTACAGTAGTCACTACTTCTCCTCACAATCACAACCTTCATAAGCTGTTTATAATGGATGCGTCCAGTCTGTGCAGACCATTATCTCGATTATGCGCAGTCTATTGTCAACGTCCAGATGAATGGACCCAAGTGCTGCACAGAAGATCACTTTTATCACCTTGTGCGTTAACTTCTAAGCAGAAGCATAATATCTTCATGGAGATTAAGCGAACAACCTCACAAATCAAGACACGGAATGGTATACTGATCCCATGTCTCTTCTAACGATCGAAACATGATAACACAGCTCGTCACAGCCTCACATGGCAAACCGACGTTTACGAAAAATCAACTATCTGATTAATCTTGTTCCGATCTTCCTAATACTTCGTCATCACTCCTCAGTATAACATCTGACAGGACAATTTCTGGTCATGGGAATGTTTCTCGGCAGCTTCTAGGTGTGATCGCAAAGAATTGTATGTGCGCCGGACAATACTCCAGTGTTGCACACGCCACGAAAGTTTTGCCGGTGCTTACTCCGTAAGTGCGCAACGGTAAACGAACAAGTCTCAACTACTTGAAGTGGGCAGTGGCATCCGAGGCAAGTGGTGCATCTTCTTCACCTGGCAGCCTGCACCTACACGACAGGACTACGCCAGCGAAGTCAATGACGGCTCTAGATAGAGCCAAGGTCATCACTCAAGACCGGGAGTACAGGGACAATAAACAAACAAACAATACCGCTGGATTGAGAGCAACGAGAAAGCTGGAAACTTATTGTTGCAGACGATAGCTTCGGCGCTAGCTTCCTTGTGCACTCCAGTGGTGCAGTGGGAAAAGGGATCCACTACTTCCAGAGTGTCTTGGAAGCTGCGGTCTCCTCCTCATCCAACTTCACCGCCAGAAAGCCTTCCGTTTTATCATCCTTCAGTCATCCATTATTGGCCCCCTGGTTGACTTTTAAGGCCCTTTGATAATTATTTTCTAAGAGATATATCTGTACACAGATAGAGATACGTTTCATATGTTTTATAGAAAATTATTCCGTTACCTTACATACCATATAAAATGCGCTCCGCTTAAGATTAAAAACTATAAAAAAATTCATTATGAATATGTATACTATTGTCCAAATATCTCAAGAGAAATATTATGTTTGTAAAATTATAAATGTATTTTCAAAACATTTCTCTAACATGTAGGAAATTTTTTGCTTATGAAAACTTTTCAATGTTTGAAATTTAAAAAAAATTTCTGAATAGCTTCTCAAAATTAAAAACTTGGATTTTTTTGGTTCAAAGGCAAGTCTAGTATTGTCTTATGAATACATTTTAGATAATAATTTATAGATTGATTTTAACTTATTTTCATATGTTAAACGAATCTAAAATTGATGTTTATTTTTTTGATTATTTATTGTAATAAGTAACACAACTATAAATATTAATTCTTTTTTTAAAGTCTTATTGCTTGTTCTATTCTTATCTTATTTTGGTATACATTCATTTAAATTTTCTTTTAATTTTTGTAATTTTAAAATATCTATTTTAAAATATTTTATTATTTGAAATTTTTTTTTATTCATAAAAATATAATATATCATTTTAATATATATATATATATATGATTTTTTAAAAATACAATGTTATAATTGAAGTATCAAAAATATAATATTTTTGTGATAAACTTCACAATGTTGTATTATGTAAAGTTTATTTGAGAATGTGATGAATACTGTTAAAGTAAAAGTAGAATAAGTTACCTTATAGAGGATATTAACTTAGGTAAGTTGCTAGTGGTCAAAGGTTTGACTCTTGGTATATGGTGAAGGCATCCAATGGATATAGGATGAAGTCATGGACCAAGAGTCAAAGTCAAAAGAATGAAGTATTAATAAGAGAATATCCAAAGATTAAATATGAGTCATTAGTATGTGTCATAGGATACCCTCAAGGCTCGTGAGATGCCAAAAGGATCCGAGGGCCATGTGTGTAAAAGTCAAAGAGTGAAAGTTGTCTTTTAAGGCAGCAACCACTACCTATAAGTAATGGATATTGGAAGTGAGAGACATCTTATTCCATACTCTCTTTGTGTGCAACCTTGCTGATATTATGTGTTGTGTCTTCAAAGTGCTTGTTCTTCAATAGGTTATGGGCCCATTCACCTTTACTTGTGAGATTTGAAGTACTTTGAAGTCTTTCTTGTTATGAGGAATAGATCTTATGGTTGTTGCTGAAGTTTGAGTTTGTTCTCTTCTAACCCTTGTTATGCATCTAGTTGTTGATGTAGTTTTTGCTCTCACTTGTTGTTAAGTACATTGATAGTCTTGATTATTGTTAGACTCCATTTAATGATGTTTTAGAACTTGAGTATTGTATTTTTTTGCTAAGTTTCATCATTGGTGCTCTAACTTTGTACTTTCATATTCTTAACTTCATAAGAGATTCTCCTATTATTATAAGAAGTATTTTGTGTAGTTAGAGGGGTGATTGAAGAGTGGCAAAGCTTATGCAAGAGGTTTAGATAGAGTATAAGACTTGTGAGAAGTCTTATATGTGAAGTTGACAGTGATACAAAAGTGAAATGACTTATATAATTATAAAGAGGGCATTCTAGGTTTCTAAGGCAACACCACCTTCTTGTTGATTTTGAGAGTTCTATCTTCTCTTTTCTTGATTTCCTTTCACACATCCCTTCTCTAGACATGGCTTCAAGTAAAGGTGAGAGCTTGAGAGTGATTGAAAAGTTTAGAGGTTACAATTTTTACCATTAGAAGAAGAAAATGGAGCTTTTATTAGCTTCATTGGACCTTCGGGATATTATTGATGAAAGTGAAGACCCTCCAAGTGACAATGTTGATATCAAGGTGAAGAAGGAGTATAAATATCGTGAAAGGAAGGCTTTTGGGATGATTGCAACAAACCTTGATGATACTAAATTTTCACATGTTATAGCTTGTAATGGACCAACGGAAGCATAAAAGACTCTTTGCAACATCTATGAGAGTAGAAACCTTGCCAACATCCTTTGGACAAGGAGGAAGTTCTTGACAGTAAAGATGGAAGAAGGAGATGACCTCATGGCTCATGTTAACAAGGTAAAAGTACTTGCTAACCAACTAGCAATTGTTGATAAATTAGTTGATGATAAGGACATTGTGTTGACATTGTGCATGAGCCTTCTTGAATCCTACAACTACCTCATTGGGGCATTGGAATCCATCAATATGAAGGAGCTTACCATGAACTATGTCACGTCAAGACTTGCCCATGAAGTGATCAAGAGGAAAGAAAAAGAGCTTGCAAGTGATGATTTGGCTCTATTTTCAAGACAAAGCAAAGGTAGCTATTTTTATCAATATGATAATTTAAAAAGTAATGTGAAGAATTGTTATATTTTTGGAAAACTAGGTCATTTTGTTAGAAATTGCTACAAGGCCAAGAAAGGAGATAGAGAGAATACAAACAATGCTAGTGATAGTTTTGGTAGAAATGAGTATGCTTTTATGGCAAAGAAAGGAGCCTCCATGGCTGCTATTTCGAAGTGGATTATAGATTCAGGTGCTACTAAGCACATGACACCATACAAGTGTTCATTTAATACTTATGAAGAAATTCCAATGACAAAAGTGTGGTTGGGAGACAATGGCATGGTGCAAGCCATTGCAATTGGCTCCATTGTGGTGGAGATTGTTGTGAAGGACCAAATTAAGAGGATCACATTGAAGGAAATTTTACATGTTCCAAAAATGAAGAAGAACCTTCTTTTGGTGAGCAAACTTGTATCACATGGTTATAAGATTCAATTTGATATGAATGGATGTTTTGTCAAGACATTGGATGGCTATTATGTTGCCAAAGGCCTTAAAGATGGAAATCTCTACTTCATCAATTGCAAGAAGGTGAATGGAGTTGAAGTAGCAATATTTTCTGACTTTCCATAAGATCAAGACAAGTTTGGAATTTGTCATCAACGACTTGGTCATTTGAATGCCAAATGCATGAAGGAGCTCCAATCCATGGTAAGTGGCTTGGATCTTGGTCAATTCACCCACAATGCCATGACACTTGCTTGTGAAGGATGTATACAAGGTAAACAACAAAGGGCTTCATTTCGAAGTGGAGTTGCAATACGTGCAACAAAATTATTGGAGATTATGCACTCTGATGTTTGTAGACCAATGAAGACACCATCAATTGGAGGAACAAGGTACTTTGTCATATTCATAGATGATTTTTTAAGAAAGGTGTGGATTTATATCATTAAAGCTAAAAATGAATGTTTGTTAAGAAGTTTAAGGCTCTTGTAGAGAAACAATGTGAGTGTAAGATCAAAGTGTTGAGAATGGACAATGGAGATGAATACATGTCAAAGAATTTTGATGAATTCATAAAGATTCAAGGTATTGCAAGACAAACCTCTACTCCTTATACTCCACAACAAAATGGAGTTGTTGAAAGAACAAATTAGACCATTGTGGAGATGGCAAGGAGTATGCTTCATATACAAAACCTTGGACATGAATATTGGGCGGAAGTTGTGGTAAATGTGGTGTACACAAGGAATAGGTGCCCTACAAGTGCACTTACATCAATGATTCCACAAGAAGCTTGAAGTCGGAAGAAACCTTGTATTTCATACATGAGGATTTTTGGATGCATTACTTATGCAAAGGTACTAGATTGTATGAGGTCCAAACTTGATGCAAAAGGTAGAAAATATGTATTTGTTGGACATTGTGAAGGTACCAAAGCATATAGACTAATGTATTTAGAAACCAAAAAGATCATCAAAAGTCGTGATGTAGAGTTTTTGGAGCATAAGAGTGTTTTTGAGCACTT